GAATTGTTTCCTAATGAATTAGTAATTCTTATGCAATCAAATTACGAAACTTTTCTTCTAAATCTACTCATTTTAATTGTTTTCATTGTTTGAGATATAAGAATTTAAAAGTATTTTTTCTTAAATAACTATAGGAATATTTTTTCTTTTTACTTTTTTTTCAGTGTAAATAATAAATTAATTGTGAATGATTAATTTATCGTAATGCGATAATTATAAATAATATTTGACAAAATTGAATTCCTCACAATTGTTACTTTCGCTAAGTTATTGGCTAAGTTGAAGTACACAATTAAAATTTTTAAAGTGGAAAAACTCGTAAAAAATTCTCATCCAAAATTTTCGATTGCTGACAAGAAAACACGACGCGTACTAACTTCAAATTTCAAATACTCGTTATCAAATTTAATCGGAAACTTTTTTCCGATTATCAGTTTTCAAGAGTAAACATTTTTGATGCTTGCATTCGTCGCGGGGATCTGTTTACTACCCCTATTCTACGTAATAGTTCTGGCATTGATGGTCTTTGAACTCTTCTTGTTTAACCGTGTCATGCGTAACAGATTCATGTTTCCGAACAAGTTCAAAGCTTTCCTGGGTTTCGCATTGCTGAAGAGTGTGGCTTTTGTATCGCGCGTCATTCCGTGAACGACATTCCCTCAGCGACAAAGAGCGACACAATCGATATCAGATATTTACTTACATCGAAGACAATACGGAATGTAGAAAACAAAGTCGCGATTACTATTACGAATGATTTGAAAGTCTTTGAGCCGTATGTACTTATAAGTAATTATTTGCAATCGTCTCTTTTTGATTTGAGCATGTTTGAAAAGTGAAACGATATAGGAAATGTATTTTATTTTTATGGATTCGATTCTACAGATTAATAATTTTTTATAAATATACATTAAGATTTTCTTCCGTTTTTATCAGAAAATATTTATTATTTATTCTTTAATAATTACATTTATATATAATACTCGCGCGAGTACCTTTGCGTACATTCTGATAAAGTAGTGTTATATAAAATGTGTTATTTTCGTAAGTATTCGTAAAGTATTTTTTATTTTGATTCACATTTCACATTTGAATAGCCATTGTTTATTAAAATATGCATATATTTAGGTTGGCTTGACTTATAAATAAATATTATTAAATGTTTGCGTTATATTTTGAATAATGATGAGTGATGAAACATGGAATAAATGTATAATTTATTTGCAAACTGTGATATAATAATATGCCAACACAATATTTTGGAACTGAAATATATTTTTCGGTATAATAATACTGGTACAATAGTATGAAAAATAATATGATATTTAGCAAAATGTGCTACTGATGGTATTTTCAAGAAATTATTTCAGTATAAAAATTTCTACTTTAATAAAGTTTTCAATAAAAATATCCTATTTTTAGTAAAGAAAAAAAAATGTTCCCAATTAATAAATTTTTTAATGTTTATATGTAACGGAGTTACGTGACCTGTTTTTTATTATTAACGGGAAATTCCAGACTTTGTTTGTGTACGTGAAAATTTTCAAATTTTTTAGACCTTTTCTCTGACAAGTATTATCGTCATTTTTGTTAAATACAGATACGTAATGAAATTGTGATATTAAATTTATATATTCTAGTCTTGACGAATTAGTAAAAATTTCCAACTAGTTTGCTATCAAGTTTATTATTATATTAAAAAATTAGGAAACTTAATTATGAAATACGGTCACTTGAAAATGATTTATCTATGTCAAGTTTTAGTATTGGCTCTTTTTTCTTCGTACGCTGGAATGACGCGATATGTTTATTGGCACACGTCCACTGTATAAGAAAACGAAATACTAATATTTATGTTTACTCGACATGTATCATTTTCCATTTTGCTTGGCACGAAATTTTATGTTCATGAGAAACTTCTATCTAACATTCTTGTACGCGACGAGTTATATGGTGGTACCATTTCTGACAAGGTAAGCCATGCAATGTGTCAACGAAAACAGTTTCTACCAGCTATATACAATCTAATTCTGAAAGATGCACACGATAGTAATTCGGAGTGATTTTTTGACACTTGTCGGATGTGTGAGTTATTACAATATTCGGGAATGCCACCCGTAGAGATACCTTCTTTAATCTCATAAGTCTCTTTGTATATTTTCTAGAAATAGAAACAATAGTGATATTTATTGTATTAAATTTCTATCCATTTTTATATATTTCAAATTTGCAATATTTATTTTTAAAAAATATAGAGACAATCTTTTGATTGCAAAAATCAAAACGATGTTTCTTATGTATTTTATATAGATCATGAAAGATAAATAAAGATAAGTTGGCGCCTACACACAATCGATACATTAGATTGATCATGTTGGTCTTTTTGAGACCAACAATTTTCATTAAATTTTTAATAAAGAGGGGATGCATATGATTAGAAAGTTTTTAAAAAATTATACTTACTGAAGTAAAACCAAATCGTTGATATTATTACACTGCATTAATACAATAAAATATTTCAATGTTTTAAAAATATATCTCGCTTTTCGAACGATTTTGAGGAAACAATATGATTTTGCGGTATCATTAAAGCAAATATCGAATTGACGCCTCATGTGCACGTACGTGCATGTTATTATATATCTTGGTATTGCGCTAGCCTAATGTGTACCGGGTGGTCCTAATTTCCCGAAAAACAATAACGTTTAAACACGGCTTATTTTATTGGCGTGTACGTTTTATTAGATCTCGCGTACATATTTACAGTTATTACAAAAGAGAGTTAATAACGTTATAAAAATTTAAATCAAAGTTGCAATAAAAATAATAGAATGCATCACTATCTTTAGTATTAAAGCTAGTAACTATTTATTTTAATTAAGAAAACTTTTAAACAGTTTACGTTAAAGTAAACATTTCCATTGTAAACGTATTTGAACATAAACATGGCATATTTAAATAATGTACATGTAAATAATAGAGCGTTAATTGTGAGAGGACTAGAAAAATTTATCAATTTAAGATTTGGTTGACAATTTCATTCTATTCAGCAAGTCAACCTGTTCGCCGATATAGCGAATATAATCGTTGGTGCACTTTTGACCTGTGCGACCTTTCGGCCCAATGCGACCTTTTGTGCCTATATTTCCTATCTCCTGCAAAATGAGATTAATGTCGTTTACGAATATCGAGTCACTATTTATTACGTCAGTAAACTTCATTCATAAAAGTCGAATATAATGTTGAATTATTGTATCTATGTCTTCCATATATTTTAATTACACATAATAAAAAGCATGATTTTTAAAACTATTTATTTACATTCTATTTGACACGTATTGTCGATTCGTGATATGTACATAAATTGGTCCAAGCGGAGCATTTGACACTTTCCATTTGCATATCGACATAAAGATACCGTGTTGTGGGCTTCAAAATGCATAATAATATTCGAATCACAAATGACAGATATCGACTGTATTTTGTGTCGTGCGAGTTTGAATTTCTCATTTACATGTCAATATATGTTTTTCCATTCATTTTATTAACTTTATTCGTTTTACGTATTCTCTATTGTATATTTACATCGTGTATGCAATATATCTAATCCATGGAAAAAGACATTAAAATTTATGGAAACTGATAAACTTTTTGTTCACAAAAATCATGAAAAAGAAAAATAATACTAAGAACTAGTAGTACTAACTAATTTTTGCTACAATTAAACTTCGATAAAAATTACGCTTCTTTTTTTTTTCGAATAAAAAAAAGTGAACATTATCTCAAGTACTTATTATTCAGAATTCGTAAGTGCAATAATTTACAAATTCCGCGCGACTGATATTGGAATTGAATCGGTGAAATCGTTCAATACGTAGTATTATCGCGAACGTCGGTCTTTTTGCGCGTTGGACGTATCGGAGATTTAGCCGAAGCAGAGAAGCGAGCTGCGTCCTCGCAAAAATTCAGTACGACGCTTCTTGCACGGTTGCTTTTGTATCGAGCGTATTCGTGCGTGCGAACTCATAGCGAGTGCACGCTGATGCGCATGCACGACGGCGTATGCACACGCCGAGTTCATTTGTTATCGGCACAATGGACAGTAGAGGATTGCCTTACTCCCCCATACATTCGCCATGTGTAGAGCTTCCTGATTCTCGTACACGAGATATGCGTTTCTCGTACCTGCGATATATACTTACTCGGGTGTAATAAGCGTCACGTTAATCACGTTAAATCGCGCAGATTATTTTCCATTATAGCCTCACATAAACGCGCGTATACCTACGTAAGATGATAAATATTAAAAATTTAATTATCTCTGAAATGAATAGTGGAATGTATTATGTGACCGCAGATTATATTTAAAGCAGGTCTGTCCGAATATTAATCGAGTAAAGGAATGAATACCGACTTTTCAGTATGTATATATGTATATATATATATATATATATACTTATGCTATATATATTTATAGGCTAAGTGTTATAAAAGAAGTTACGGCACAATGAACAATTACGGATCTTACTTCTTTGCAGAAAATAGTCTCTGCGATAAACTGTGTATGACAGATCTAATTTAAAGAATCTTGCGTTAATTTCTTCTTAAATAAAGTTTGCGAAACCGCCATTTATTCTCCAACTAGAAACTTTGCAATTTTCAAGAAAGATTATATGTTCTGTCAATCAAAATTCGCTTTAAGTCTTTATTAAAGTAACTAGAATATTCGTTAGAGCTATTTAGCCCTTTGAAGCTGAATTCGCAGAAAGACTAGAATACTTTAATTTCCAATAATAATTACCTTCGTAATTAAGACTCTTATTAAGATTTCATTAAAGAAGAATCGATTTGAAATTCATCAAAGTGTGCACAATTGAAAGAGAATGTAATTATCATTTTAATTACTGGCGGATCTTTCGAACTTTTCAAGGGCTCTGCTATAATATTCGTTGGGAGCAATACATGTTTTCGAATGTTTCACCAATTAATTCTGATTTCAGATGCAGAGAGCAGTGCTGCTGCTCTGTTGGCTGCCGCTTCTCAACCACTGCCACGCCGTAAATCCAGGTAAATTATATCGATCAATTTCTAAAACGACGGCGACGTCGGCGAGCGTATATTGCAGATAGGTGTTATTTGTCCTGTTACCGGCTGTGAAATCTCGCGCGATTCTCGCAAAGGGAGAGCTAGATTTTATTATTCCGGATAGACGATTCCTTCTCCGACACGCCTCGGCGAAACGGATTACTGTTAACACGAACCGATATTGCATACGTCGGTTTAAGGATCCGTTATCGTGCGAACGTAAGCCGCATTTACGTGGCGCATCGGGCTTAACGTATAGCCGGACGTTAGGTGCCCGAACGCATTAGTATCCAGGCAACGTGTCCGACAAAAACAATGCCCCTGTTACCGGCTCGGCTTCGGTCAGCTAGCCAGTTCTGTTGGCGAAGTCACGAATTGCAGGAAATACACGCGTCTTGCTTGTTTTCTCATGTATGCTCTCATGTACGTACGAGATATGGTAATCGATAACATACCCGTAGACGTATGATTTTAAGACAGACGATAGCGTAAAATGTCTACTTAAATATGGGACACGAAACGTCCCGTTAAATTAAAAGAGACGAAAGAACAGTTGCTTATTCACCCAAGGAAAACTTTCGATTCTTTCCCTCGGTTACTTTTTGAAAATTTCCAAAAACTCTGGTTATTTCGTCAAATTTAGTTGCGGACGTAAAGTTTAGTCGTGTCCCGCACGGATTACGAGGATTAATGTAGAAAAGTGGTCATTTCTTAATTTGTAAAAATTTTCGAGGAAAAGAATCGAAGTGTCCTTGGGTGTACCATTTCATACGGCTAATAAAAGCTGGCGTTTTACTCTCACTCTATCGATTTTCGTAAATAGCGAAGTTACACTCAAAGTTCGATATTGTTCAACTAATAGCGAACATCGCTGAAATACATGACGTGTCATGTCACGTTCATGAAATCGTTTGTCTTCCAAAATTAATTTTAGGAGCGAAGCAAAGAAAAAAAAACCATATTTGCTGCGATTTTTCAAAATGGGTGCTTTCCAGTACTTTTTCTTTTTTAATAATTGTATATTAGCAATTGCAATGGCTGTGCATCGCTTCTGAATCTCTGCTGTAGCTGTAATTGCCACTATACGGGTATATATTCTTTTACATACATCCGATATATTCTCATTTTCGTAATTCATTTTTATTAAAATGAATTAAAAGCTAGCGAAAATAAACGAGTGAATTCGTTAACTTAAACCAGCGAAGATACCCATTTCCATGAAAAGGAAGCGGGAGAAGAGCGAACTGCTTTTGAGCGCTGCTTTGATTGTAGTGAAGTGGGAGTAAAAAGCCAACTTTCCTTCGCTGCACGAAATTGCACCTTAAGGCTATAAGTGCCTTAGAACTATGTGCACTTACCCAATTTCTTCTTTAGTCCATACTTTTCCTAATATTTATATAATAATTATATTATGATACAGTCTGAGAAAATGATTTCGTTGGATTAAATAGCAATTCTGGCGGAACATTGTTTGAGATGACTAGAATTCTGATTGATATAATTATTCTGATAAAAATATAAACAGAATTCTAGTAGATTTTACCACGAATATTGTATCAACCAGAATTCCCGTTATTTCAACTGAAATTCTAATAAAATTAAAAAGAAAAATCTTCGTTCATTTTCAATCAGAAATTTTTTTAGTGTAATACACCTAAGATTCATAATTGATACATTTTTATAACAAAACGTGGATGTAGTATCATTACTAAATTAATAGTACTGTTATAATATAAATATACCAAGCATTTTGTTCACGAAGGTTTTATTTTTGCGAGACGAGTCGTGTCTCTCCCTCCCCCTCTCCCTTTCCTTTTATCCAATTTTATCAGTGGTATAACTTAATATGTTAAAACTCGTAATACTGAACTCGCGTATCTTGTAATCATTTTTGCGTTTTGTACGGAGTCGTAAGTGAGCTATTGTAAAAATCCATCCGTTGGTATTATTAGAGGTAACAGTCGAGCGTTGTTCGTAGCTATAACATTATCGTATATACGTATATTTGCATTTTCCTCGCATGAACGGACAGAAGCGACGAATGAGCGAAATGTCTACAAAAAAAGAGCGTTTAGTTACACGTAATGTACTACATCATATGATACGTCAAATGCAGACGGTGAATTATATTCAGCTTGATGGATCGTTTGGTGTGACTGGTATTCATTGCTTTAGTAAGCAACTTCAAACCTGGCTCATAAATCAGACATTGATACAATGCAAAATATTTTTCAAGCCAAAGTTTAGCGTGATAATCGTACTCTCTCTCTCTCTCTCTCTCTCTCTCTCTCTCTCTCTCAGTTTAACCCTTAATGACACATAAATTTATGTAGCAAGTTATTATTTTCGCAAGTTTAGAATTTATAAAACTTTTATCACGCATCTCTTTAGACAGCTAACAGCTTATTAAAAAAATGCAATTATTAACAAACATAACGTCTATGTATAAATTTAATATAAAAAATTAAATGCGGATAATAGAGAGAGAATTCCGTGAATACCGTATGCAGATAAAGATCATTAAAGCGTATTCGTGCGGATCAAGTATAGGCGAGATTCGCAATTTTTCTGACAATGAAAGAAGAATAACGAGGTTGGTTATACGCGTCGTATAACTGACCAACGTACGTTACGCGGTGAGTGTATCACATTTAATTTGGTTGAGCGTGCGGAGCGCACGATATTCATTGCTTCGGTCGGCATCATTGAGCCCGTTACGTAGATACGTGTACATCACACATGTGGTTAATAGCACGTAACAAACGACTCTCTCTCTCTCTCTCTCTCTCTCTCTCTTTTTTCCTTCGGTCTTTGTTCTATAACACATTTCCGCGCGTATCTGTCGCTCAAGCGCATACAGTGGAAATATTTCGATGGTTTTAACTTGTCAACGTCTAGCAACGCTCGGGTTCATCGAGCAGAATTGCTGAAAATTCCGTCGGTAGCTGGAACACGAGCGAGATACGTTAATTTCTCACTCTCGTTTGTTACTATGTAACGTTCTGTCGTCACGTCCGAGCGCTCTGGATATCACGTTGTACTCGTGGAGAAGGCAAGTTTAGATCTAATCAATTCGGTCGTCACGCGCCGGAGAATAATTTTGCTCAGTTTCCGCAGGAATAGCCGGAGAAATCCCGTTGTGGCTGCAGGGCAAAAGTTCGCTATTACGATCTTAGAACCGAAGCTAGAATATGCTCGCTTTCGGCTTGCCGGAAGTTTAATAATACGGCTCGTGGAAAGCGGCAAAACTTCGACCCAGTCTATATCTCGTCGGATTTGCTCGCGTACTCGTGTTACACAAGCAACTACACCGATCTAAGAGTAATATTCATTAAAGGGGTCCAGCACCGCGAGGGATACTTGCGAATTCTGACTACGCCGAAGCGTATATTTAAGTTGCAATCGTCGTGCAATTACAAAACTTTTCCGAGTTTATCTTTCCGAGTTCCGGAGCGCAGCGCTTACGCGTTAGATTTTTTTTTTCGTAACAATTCGGAAATTGAGATTCGGGATTGCTTTTCGATGATTGAGCGTGCAGTTAATAAAAATTTGAGATTTCCACGATTTTTCGTGTTTTTAAATGCAATCGGCATATTTGATCCTCCTTCAAGCTCTAGTGTTTCACGAGCATGGCGAAACGGATAATAGATGTAATCGTCTTGGGATTATCCACCGGATTATATTTGCGTTCTACGTGGAAAATGTGCACGATTCAGATACCGTGAATATAGCGAGTGAAACAACATGTTAACTGCATTTACATAAGCCGCATTCTCAGTCGAATCGTACGATCAACAAAAAGTGCAGTTTGCTGAAAAGATAGTCTTATTTTCAGCTTGTAAATTGTACAACTTGGGAAAATAGTCTCGCCCTTCTCCGATTTCCGGAATAATGTGTAAATGTGCAGGCGACACTGGTATACTTTTAACTGCCTTTCTCAGGAACACCGGCACCGCAAGCACCGTAACTCAATCGTATGTAAATTGCCAGTGGTGTAATCTCGTAAAGCGGCTTAACGTTACGACGAAAGTTTCGCAACATGCTGGAGGTGGAGGAGGAGATATCCAAAACTCGCGATATAAATTGACGTAATTCTTTATCCAGAGGTAACACCTGGAACACAAGGTCAATACCTTTCAATTGATCCGGACTATACTTCTTAACCTTATCCGGTCGACTGCTTTCTACCCTATCGATCTCATCAAGTGGAAACTACGAGACCCGAAACCAGGGCCGATCAATTGGCAATAGTGCGGTTTCATTGCGGACTGCTACTCCGATTGTTTGATGACCTCATGTTGTTACCTAAGTTGCAGCAAACTTTATCTGGCTTCCGAGTAGTAATTTCGGTGCCAACTTAAAGTTTATCTCTTGTGTCTGTCATTCTGAAAGACATCGCGATTATGGCTTGGACATGCTTATAAAATAACACAGGAGCGTGTGGACGTTTATGCTGTTACACTATTATATTAGAATTTCATGAAAGTAATAATTATCAACGTAAATTATTCTACGGTCTCAAAATTCTATGATCTAGAAATTAGAGAATTTTTTCCAAATTTATTTAACATACGTGTAAAGTAAAGAAAGGATCAATATTTCAATATTTATGAGAAAAAATAAAACCAAGCGATTCGAGCTAGGCTTTAAAAAAATATATAAATATAAATAATGTATTATTCTATAAATAATGTATTAAATCAAGCTTAAATCGCTCGTTGTTATTTTTTTCTCATAAATATTTGAACCTTTTATTTATTTTACGCGTATGTTAAGTGTATTTTGGAAACATTTTGTCGCTTTTTATTTAATAAAGATAGAAATAAAGAATAATAATAATAAGAATAAGAGATCTTAACATAAGAGATCTATACATAATTATGATAATAAAAGTCGCGTAACGGTCAAAGAAACGGGCTAAAGCTTCGATGAAATATACCAGCTGACATGGTACCCATTCGTAAGCCGGGGGCGAGTAAAGC